GTACCAGACTGCGGAGAGCCTGTGCGCTTCTTCAAAGTGCCGTATACGCCCGACAGTGATCCTCTGGAGCAGTGACATGGTTTCAATTCTATATAGGACAGATAGAATGCACACCAACAATGTATGGCGCAAGCATTTTTCTAAGGACATAATTTCAATCGCATACCACGTGAAAATCAAGGGGAGGATACTACTGGACGCGTGAAAGAGGCGTATGTTCTATCATAAATGCGATTCCCGCAATTTATTTCTGAGCTTTTCTAAGTACTCCACAGTCAAATAAAATTAAAAATCTGTGTTCAAACTGCGCGCAGACAACACGTTAGAGACACATAGAACACGATCACAGGCGAACATGTGGGCGTTCTATATTTCTAACGTGTTGTCTTCGCGCATTTAAAACGTAATGAAAATTGATGAACCAACAAGTCAAACGATGTGCAAGAGAGAAAACCATCTAGAAAGGAGAACCCCCTGTTTTGAGCACCCAAGTGAGGTCGACCAGAAGCCGACATCATCGATGCGACGTATTGATGTTAATAATTCAATACATACAATTATATCATATTATTCCACGGTAGCGATAATGTTATCCCAACAGAGGGATAATGTTATTGCTTAGGTTGGGCTTTTACTCTTTAAAACCACAATTTTATTGCAATGGACGCCGTATAGCGGAAGGCTCCTGACCAATACTGACCACTTGTGGTCGTTTACCGAGCACTTACGTCTAAACACGCGAATGTTCTTTCTCCAAAATGTGGCCGCTAAACATTTTCACGGTGGGATAGCACGCTGGCTAACGTTTTTAAAGTTCTTTTTTTCTTTGCACGAATGAATGCTTTCAACAGACTGAAGTACTAGTGGGTGCGAGTGGAACTTCATAGGCTTTGAATATTGTCCGAACGATCGATGTTCATGACGTTTATACCCTGCACGAAGCATGTTCATATAAGCAAATATTTTAACGTAATGCACTTTCCATCTTAATCTGTATTGAGAAATGTTCTTCGCGCTTCGAGGGTTAATCCCACCAGTACGACCGGAAACGTTGGGAAAGCAGAGGAATTTCAAGTCGCCAGCTCCACTTCGCTGGATTTGTTGGTTGCGGCGCCATCTAATGGCTCGCAGCAGAGTGCGCCCGGGAACAGCCAAACATACTTTGGCCGTTCAGGCGCACGCATTGTATACACCGGAACATTCTTACACCATGCTACGGGAAACACTCTTTCTGCTATGAACACTGTACCGCCAGCTTGGAAGGGACGAGAGAGAGATAGAAAACATTTTATTAAGTACATTTAAGCAAAGCATGTGGGAAGGAACCCTAGTCCGATTCCCTGTGACGATCTCGGCGACCAACCTGCCCCGTTGAACCAAGGCCTGGCGGACCTCGGGGCAGGCCCGTCGCAGAGGGCATCGTCCCACAGCTCTTTGGTGCGGTAGGGGTGCAGAATAGCGGGAAGGGGAGGAAATAATTTTGTGGCGCACTCCACCGTGACATGAAATACTATTCGGGAGCTGCCACAGCCCGGGCAAGATTCTGCGTAGCGAGAACGCGCCTTGTCCGGCGACCCGCGCCACACAGAGAGACCTCCTATTTTCTGCACGACAGCACACCCAGGTCTTCAAGGCGGTCCTTCGCCTCCTTGGGGACACTGAACAGCACAACCAGCTGTAGAAGCCACCCGCCGCGTCCTCGGTCATGGACGCCATTTATGTTCTTCTCTATTCTTCACATCTTTAATACACTCACCTCATTTTCCAACAGGCGCTGAGCCGTGCTTCCAACTAGGACTGTAGAATTAGCGTCATGTACTTTCCTTCAACCTCTCTCTCTCTCTCAACTCCGCAAGAGAGAAACTTTTTATTTCAATCAGAGAGAAATGTTGGGTCGGGCTCTCTTTGTACAGAGCTCCACAGCCGAGGCTGCGTGCCTGTGCCCGCCGAACCAGCGTTCACTCGGCCACTCGAGGCTTTCATCGCGCAGTATGGCCCCCCAGTCTTGTAAGGTAGGAATAGGAGAGGAGGTGGCAGAGCGCCTGGCGGGCGGACGCTGACATTCCAGCGTGACGTGAAATAACATCGGTACCAGCTCCGCAACCAGGGCATTTGTCAGGGTAAGAAGTGGAATGGAGGATGTGGAGGAAATAGAAGTTTGGAAATGTGTTCGTCTGCAGTTGTCGCACCGCAGTTGAATCCTCTCGTATGAGCGTGTGGTGTGGTAGAGGGAAACGAATGCGTTCTCTTCTATAGTTAAAGGACGCCGACACAGGTAGCGTCTGCTAGTAATTTTCTTGATTGAAAGAACAAAAACAGAGTGCTCGCGTTGCACAACCGCGACGACCGATCACTGGCCACCTTGTACCAACGCCTCTTAGAAAGACTATGCCTGGAATGTCACTCTTTTTTCAATTGGGAGCCTCCTGCCAGCACGCGATCTCGGAGGCCATGCATCATGCCTTGTGTTGAGACCAGCCGCCGCGTGAGACCGCTCGCCTCCGTACCGCTCTGTCACATGACATCACGGCTGCTCGGAGGCAACTTTGAGAGCATTGCTGTGTTCGCAGGGGGGCGGCCGTCGGAGATGCTCGCCTTCGTACCGAAGGAAGAGGGTAAAATCAGAGGGTAGGGCAGCGCGTTCTCGGCTCACGTTCCAGGCATAATTTTTAGGAGGCGTTGCTCCTACTTATGTATCTTTTTTTATGGAGTGGAGGATTTCCTTCTTTCTGGGCTGTTGCATGAGAGTACAAAAGCCGACGTCAAAGCCTCGGCAGTGCATTGTTTGGTGGGGGGGGGGGGGTCATGTGCCCTAACAATAGCCGAGAGAGGACCATGACGGTGCCCATGGAGCCTTGAGTGAAAAGGTCTATAGGCTCTGAATCATGACCTGCAATGTATTGCCAGATGGAGATTTCTCCTGCGCCTAGTTGAACAATAAATATTAGTTACTATTAGAGGTTTTACGCCCCAAAACCACCATGTGATATGAGAGAGGCCGTAGTGGAGGGCTTCGGAAATTTCGACCACAGTACGCGGGCCTCTACCATTTCTCCTCCTTCGAAATGTGACCTCCGTGGCCAGGATCAAAACAGCGACATTCAGGTCAGCAGATGAGCACTGTATCCACCGACTCAGACAACAATAAAGATTCGCAGCGTGTGCGTTAGCTTAAAGCGGACTACGCGTCTCTCTGTGCAATGAAGGTCTTCTGTCTCTCGTTGCCCGTTAGCAGCGATTGGCATGTTCCAGTATAGAAACACCCGTTCATCACTGTGGGCTTTGCCCTCACTCCGGTTTCACGTTATTGGAGCGGCCTTTGTAACAAAACGCTCGTTGCCTGTATATCGTGACCACCCCCGAAACGAACGCGACAGCGTTGATTGATTGATATGTGGGGTTTAACACCCCCAAAACCACAGTATGATTACCAGAGACGCCGTAGTGGAGGGCTCCGGAAATTTTGACCACCTGGGGTTCTCTAACGTGCACCCAAATCTGAGCATACGGGCCTACAGCATTTCCGCCTCCATCCGAAATTCAGCCGCTGCAGCTGGGATTTGATCCCGCGACTTGCGGGTTAGCAGCCGAGTACCTTAGCCACTAGACCACCGCTGCGGGGCGAACGAGACAGCGTTAAAGAGCTGGTTTAGCAGAAAAGAGCTGGAGTCGTTGGATACGAGCGAAAACGTTATCTTGCCGGTGAGCAAGAAATCGAGAGAGATGCAAATAAAGTAAACAATAATATTTTCCGGGTGCGAGTTAAGATTCAAGCCAGAGAGGCTGTATGGCAAGCATGTGTGCTAGGCCTATGGAACACAGCCACACGTCTTCTGTTTTTTTATTACATCGTATTTATTACGAATACCATGAATGCCGTGAATACCATGAGTAGGCATTACAAAATAAATTCCATAGAGCACTGTGTTCTCAAGCGGTATTTGAGGAGTGCACTTCATGGGCTCCGGATACCAGTGAGGGCACGCACAGTTTATGGATAGCCACACGTCTGTTTGGAAATGCAGCGAAAATAACATTCATGCTTTAGAAACGCGTGCGTCCTGTATAAGGCTTCACAAAACAGCGTAACATCGCAGTAATATTCCGTGGCACAAGCGTACATTGACATCGGGCCTGAGAACATAGGATTATCATAATGACTTCCTGGTTTACAGCCAGCCACCCGTTACAAAAGGTACACACGACGCTCCACGTATTCCCTTAAGACAATGTGGTAGGAGTACAGCAAGTTCAAAAGTATTTCATACGCACAAGTGCTTGTTTAAAGCATCCTACACGTTACTTAGATTGCAACCATATGCGAATGATTCACTAACACTAGCGGTTTTCAACTTTATAAATTGCGTCGTACTAATTCACAATATAAGCTTCTCGACTAGCATCATGCAATAAAAAGTATACGCCCTAAATGGTTGAAGTACGCAAGACAGGATATCGCTAAGGCAAAGCTAAAGGGTGACCCCCCCCCCCTTTTTTTGTTGCTATCATATACTTGCAGAGATCGCACTGCATAGGTGGGTCTACCCGTGATTAAATTGAAAACGCGCATTGATGGTTGAAATTACGAAATTTCGCATTAGTTGACGCTAATGTGATTTGGGTGCTGCTAATTTCATTTAGTGCGGGACGATCTGAAATGCCATAGGGCGAGCCTTGTGAATATCGGACTGTAGTCGTTCGCTTGCGTGAAATGCTATGTGTGGACCGTTAATGTGACAATGATGACAACACTGCTGATTACATTCAAAACGTCTTTTCGGAAATGTGATACGTCTCGCTGCTCTGTTGGAATGTTAATCGTTTTATAATGCCGATATTACATTAATGATAATAACTTTAATTTTGCTTTATTCGAATGGCAAACGATTTCTTTATCATCATCATACAGGGGAAACAATCTCGCTTCGCTCTCCGCTTGCGATCAAATTAGATTATGTTGCGCAATCGTGAGTGGAGTCAATGCGCCGCTGTCGTTTTGTTCAAGGAATATAGACGTATAAGTGCGGGTCCTTGGTCTCTCTTTCCATGTACTCCCTTTCTATAAGCGCATCGACTCGTTTCTTGAGCGCACCTGGGCTGGGCGTAAACCTGGCTCGAAGCAGCTCAGTCACCTCGATCACGAGGTTCTCGTGTGACAGCATTCGGCGTGATTTCATCACCTTCACGATCGCCGCGTCGATATTGTACTTTCGTTCTTCGTCAATGCGAGCCTTTGTGTCGGTGCAGCTGGTTGAGGCGGATTCTTTTCGACCACACGCTGACTGAACTTTCACCTCCTTCCCAGTGGCCGTGAAGGCATCGTTCACGGCGAAAACGTGACAGTCTTCAATCTGCTCCGTGGCCGGCGTCTTGGTAAGAACTGGTCCGCAGCTCTTGCCCGAGCACAGAGAGTGCAAGGCCTGCGTCAGGTCCTTCTCGGGGAAGTTGGTCTCGGAGGCGATGTCCGCGAACGTAAGCTTGTCGTGGTTGTTAAACAGCATCAACACGCACATCTGGGGCGTAGACACCTGTATGGTGTAGGTGCGCGGCTTGCTGGCGGATGAGTTCGCATCTCGTGATGGAGAAGGTTCCTCCCACGGCCCGTAAAAGACGGCATTCATGTCTGCACTGCCGAGTTGTGGCTGCAGGGTCAGTTGCCGGACCTTGTACTTGGCGAGGTAGAACCGTCGGAACGTCTCAAAAGCCTTGCCCGGTACAGTTGGGATGTTGCTGGGCTGCGTGGCCCAAGACAGGGGCCAGAAACCCGCCGTCAGCACGCGCACATTCAGGTGAAGTTTGTTCAAACTCATTCTTGAAGAAGACACGGCTTCGTTGAACTCCTGAGTGAGGGCATCCGAGTGGTACAAATCCTTGAATAGTGTTTCCAGCCTGTGGGTGAACAGACATCCGCACTCGTTCTTGAGCTTGGCGACCACACGTTTCTCGGCATCATACGAGGTGTCCTCACAGGCTGAGCAGCCTCTTAGCCAAGTGTTGCGTGTAGGAGCTCACGAAAAGGTCTTTGTCCGGCAAGAACCCAAATATCTCTGCCACCTTTTTCAGTAAACTGTCAATCTCCTGATCCGTCATGCGCAGTATCCCGCGTCGTAACGTGTCGTCCACAAATGCAGACAGAAGCTCGGGCGACTTTTCGGTCAGGCTGAGTATGTGTTCGATATCTTTGGCGATCACCTGCTCGGCCAAGTAGTCTCCGTCGAAGCAATGGCGCAGAATGCGGTCGACGCGCGATTTCAGCTCTATCAGTCTCGGGATTAGGCCCACTCCGTCTCCCTCTTCCCTCACTATTAAGCTTCCTATATCGCGTAGGTGCTTGCTGACGCACTTGAAGAAAGATTTCTGGCCACCCTGAACTCGGTTGACGAGGCGAAATGCATGCGCGAGGTCCTCCATCATCCAGTTCTGGAGCATGAGCTCGATACCAGGGCCCTCTTTTTCCAAGATGTCATTCATGCATTCGCCAATGAGCTCTGTCTCGAGGACACGCACGATGGAAATCACGGTAGACTCGTTCAGGCACTGCTTCGCCCGCTCCGACTCTTTCTCGATGTGCTCCTCCACCTTATCGAAGTACGCGAGGGAGCTCATCGTTAAAAGGCAATTTTGGCACCTGTGACTTGTAGAATCGCGCCGTGTCGGCCAGAAAGGGACGCTCAAAGACTTCCTCGTAGACTGACCTCGAGCCGTGTCCCAAGCTCTCGAGCATGTCGCACGCCTGCTTGATCGCAAGCCTGTCTACACATCCGCCTTCGCGCTCCTTGTTCACGAGGCTTAGCAGGGTTGCGCAGAGACGGTCACGTACGTCGTCGTAGCACGCCACCTCGTCCATAAACACGGACTACGCCCATCTTGTCCACGCTGTCGACGTTGTTGAGAGACGCGTACGCGATGTCCAAGTACATTACGATGTCACATATCATCGCCATGCTTTGCTGGTGGTCCTTCCAGGCTTGATTCAGTTCTTGCAGGAAGTCCTCGCCTGTTTTAGCTAGGACGACGGGGCGAACGTTCTTGGCGAGAAACTTCGCGATGGCGTCGCGAAGTCCGTTGTAGAGGCGTTCACCAGTGTTGCGTCGCACCATGGTGTACGCGCAACGGTAGAGCTCATTGAAACCTTGACTGAAGCTGCGGGTCTCCTGTATCTCATGAAATGCCTTTTCCAGCGCCAGCCAGAGGTCTTCGGTGCTGCGGTTGTCCGTCTGGTGCGAAGACATCTTGATACGCTCGACCTTGGCATTTTTCTTGGCGGAGAGCGGGGCCATGGCGTTGAGCGACTGTTCTCTTGCGGCTTATGGTGATGACGACGATGACGTGTCTTGCCAAGCTGGCACGCGCGCACGACTCGGTGTTGGCCAATATTAGATGGTTGAACGCATATTTGATAGATTAAGAGATTGAACTTAAGACTGCAAACCGATCGTGGTGTCGTCAATTTCATGGCAGAAGAACAAAATGATAAAGTTTGGAGTATTCTACCACTCGTCACAAACTTCATTTTCTTTGCCGGGCCTCCAGGACTCATGGTCCGAATTTTTAGAGATAAAAGTCATGCCAATGATGTGTATAGCGAGAATTAAAAAAAACATGGAAAACATTACCAAAGAGCTTAAAAAACAAAAATGCAGAAGTAAGTTAGTGTAAGACTGCCTCAAGAAGGGGCGAACGCCACCTAGCTTGTCCGGGCTTGACTGAGCTTTTACCATCTCACTGGTCTTTTTTGTACCCTTTGCTCTCCTACGTGGCTATTTTGTTCTCTTACGTTATCTCGCAACTAGATGTTTTATCTCTATCTATCCTTTTCTTTCTGTGCCTTTTGTTTTCTTATCTATTTGCATTTGTCATTCTTCTCTATATTTCTACTGTTTACTCTTTTCTTATTTATGTCACACTCTCGCTCACTAGCTATAGTTGCTTTCTCGCCTTCTTTTTTCACTCCTCCTTCACTTCATACTTTTCTCATTTTTTCCCTCTATTTCATTTTTATCGCCTTCTCTGTACTCGTTTTCCATTTCTTCTTTTCCGCCTGCTTACCGGCACATCCATTTCCCATTACCTTGCTATACTATAATAATATACAACAATACCATGCCATAGTGTACTGTACATTGCATGTGCTGTGCTGTGAAGGCAGAAAGAAAACTTGGTGTCCGGAAAGCGCTTGTTGTTCGTCAGCGCCACCGTCATCATCATCATCGAAGGACGATGGCGGAACATGGCTAGAAACTCGAGAGCTTCACCCCTAAATGTACCCGAAGTGTCCTTAGGAACTTGCTCCTTATGCTCGGGGCTTGCCTTTCGGCGTAGCTGCTCCCTCAATGACGCTGACGACGCTGATGATGACAGAACGAGCGCGTTCCAGAGCATACATTTTTTTTCTGCCATCACGGCACAGCACATGCAAGGTACCCACTATATGTCATGACGATGACGATGAAGCACCCACTATGCCGCTATGCCGTTCATCATTCTGCTGATAAACGAGGTACTCGCTACACATCTGTTACGCATGTGTACTTGGTGCTGTTACTGTTGATGGCAAAGAGGGTCGCTACTAAAGCTTGCTCTTATGCTTGGTGCTTGTTCATTGCCGTAGCCGTTAGTTCTTATTGCTCCCGCTAGAGGTGCAGCTCTGCTCTCTCCAGTAACTTGAAGAGTGCTCACTAGTTGGCACGCCGCCACTCAAGCGGCGCTCACTCGCGCATAAAATCTCGAAATAGATTCACTAAAAGAGCTGCTTGCTTCACGAATTCAACGCCGGAAAAATTTATCAATCCGTCTAGTATGAGTGGAGTTACAAAGATTTGTCCCACGCTGCAATCGCATTCTCTCTTCTCTCGTCCCGACGAAAGCGCTGGGAGCTAAACGGTGGCGATTCCTGTAGCGACCGAGTGCACCATGGTCAAATCAGCCAATGGCTGATAGATGGCCTTCTACTAGCGATTTTTGTGCGTATTCCGTCATTTGTCGAGAGAAGAGGAAGCAATTTTAACTGATTTCATGATTTATGGCAAATTCCAGGCCACTTGCAGCGCTATAATGTTTGGCTCGCGTGTTGTCGGTAGCCTCTACTACCGATCGGCAGGGTTTTCTCACCATGTTCAAAATGTGTTGCAGGGACCCTATACAATCAACAACGGTTTGTACAGCTGCTCCTCTAGAGAGAGCAATGAGAACTATGATACGCGGTGCATGACCTCCGAGATGCGGGCGCCGTGCGTCTGTCATCTCGGAGGCCATGCACGGTGCAACGACGAGACAACGCCCCAGCATAAGAAGCAAGCTTTTGAAATAAACATGCGGATTGGCACATTAAACACGCTTCATGCTGCATAAATAATTTTGCGCCGAAGCGAGCTTACACATACGCATGTGCGCAGACGTGTGTACATGAAAGTCCACGTTTACCTTGTAACAAGCACGTTAGTTACGGTTGGGGGGAGGCATTTTGGTTCGCTCTGGGCTGCATGCTGTTAGATACTTAATAGGCGGACCATAATGTTCCAGGCATTCAATATAATGCTTGAATGAACATTGAAGAAGAATGCTCGAAAAAAAAAATGATCACACGAGCCCCATAAGTTTCTGTAGCATACGCCCAACCATCCTCCCTTCCATGCGCAACATACAAACCTTATCGTCAAATATAGCTTCTAGAAGGAGTAATGCTGCCAACTTTATCAAAATGATGAAAAAAGTTAATTGAAAACCAATTCTCCTCACGGAATGAAACTTCTTGGTCCGCCACTGCAGAAAAAAAATAAAGATTGCTGTCCTAAAAAGAAAACCTGTTAAGTGTAAGAATAGTATATTATTTTCTAATCGTGGCTCGCGCGATTATTATATACAATATCAGAAAGATGTCCATAAGTTCCGATTGACGTGGCAATGTGATAAAGCAAAATGCACTGCATAACTAAATAAGAAGCTTTTGCTGCAGAGCCATGACAGTGAAGTCAATCCCCATCGTCATCGCGAGTGACGGCGGGAGACCGCCTGGTGCCGACGGCGCGCGTGATAGTCGTCCCGGTTCAGGCAAGCCCCGCTGCATTCCTGGTAGCTGTCGAAGCGGTTCCTGCCGGCCAGGCACAGGTCGGTCAGGTTCTCGCACGACGAGCGTAGAGGGTTGAAGAAGAACTGCAACCGGAGTAAACGGTCGTCGCACGCCTCGCCGACGATGGGGTTCACGCAGTCGTCAGCGTTGGGAAGTTTCGCAGATGATGTGCGTGCTGCATGTAAAAGCAAGAAAAGATCAAGCATGCTTAGTACGTGCAAGAAGCAAAGACATTATTACACTATGGTCGCCGCGCACGGGAGTTGAGTCTTACGCAATTGAAGCATAATAAAAAACAAAGTTCAATGAATGAAGGGAGCACATTAGTGGGCAGACGGCTGGGGGTGGAGGGTCAAGCTGATCGACATGTGTCCCTTATGTGCCCGCGACAAGCTGGCAGTCTCTGAAAAAGGTCACATCAGCGGACTTCAGGGTAGTCTTTACAGAGTTGGAATAGCTTTTTACTCAGTGTATCGGCGCACAGAAAAGCTAATTTGAATAAGTTTAAGTAGTATGTCCCGATTGCAGCATTCTTTTCGCGATGCCTTGCCTCGTTACTTTACGGACGAGCCCTGCATATAACCATGAAAGATTGAAAGAACCTCCCTCTCACTTCCTCGGAATTCGCGAGTGCACTGCGTACTGCATAAGGGCTGGGTTGTTCCGCGTAACTATAGAACGCGGTTACTCACAGCAGCCTGCCTGGCATTCGGCGAGCGTGAAGAAAATGTTCTTGTTCCGGTAGCACCCTTTAGAATACTGCCACGAGGAGCACGTGTCAGTTGCTGGGTCGTACACCACGCTGGGTTTCAGGGCAGTCGCGTCACACTCGTCGAGAGTGACAGTTCGGCAACGCTTGGGTGGCACTGCGTACGCAGAAAATGGCCGATCAAAATAGACGCTATAGAGATTCTACTTGATTTAGAGCAGAAAACGCCATGTTGTCTGCTCCCAGCCTGCTCCAAAACAGGTACGATCTGTGTATTCATCTTCTATAGGACTGGTTGCTACGTACTGTAAAATTTTAAATGGACATTAAAGAGCAAAGCGCTTTTTCGCGCATTAGTAAAGTACAATTTCACAATCCCGGAAACGCTACTCTTACCACGACGTGACGATTGGTAATTAAGCGAGAAACGGGCGAAAAGAAACTGCAGGTGGAGACGCCACTTTCAGATTCCCGCACCGAACACTATGACATGATCATTTTTTTAAGTGTTCCACGTAGTGCCACGTAGCTTCTAATCAATAAAAGAAGTTCATTGTAATCTGTGGGTGATATCGATTTAGCATATTAGGTCTCAGAAAATTTCATGGAGCCAATATCGCGCAAATGCGAAAAATGCATTGTGGAGTTGCTTACATCACGCGCGAAGATTACGCGCGAAATTTAAAAATGAAACTTAAACCTTGATTTTCTCCGCTAATGAACATGAGACCGTCAAACTCACGACATTAGAGTTTTAAGATTCAGTTTTTCAATCTAAAACAACTCTATAGTTCTTTTAGTGTCCATTTAGGTGAAAAAATAACTCCT